CAGAGGTATTATTATGGACTTGGAATGCTGGCTTAATTGTATAGTGAGACATGTTGAAACAAGACTGTCTTGTAAATAGGTTACAAAAGAACACAGATTAGGAAGCCTCCGGGATCCCAACTGACTTCTCTAAAGCTTTTTAGAACGTCTACTCCAGGCAGTAGGAAACAATGCTTTTAGTTAGTACAGAAAAATACAGACAACATAAAATAGATTTTTGTCACAGTTTTTTACTGTGACTTTGGTTTGTAGGAGAGGAAAAATACCTTTTTTCTGCTACTCTTTTGGTCCTTGATTGGGTCTCTAACAAAAAACAGATTAACAAGAGAAAAGCATGTGAATTTATTTAATATAAGCCTTCATAAAGAAATGAAGACCCAAAGAAACAGTTAAACCTGAGCATTTTTATACCAAGTTTTTAGGAAGAGTGCAAAGTCTTTGAAGAATGTGATAGGACAAAGCTAAGAGCAGTAAACTGGGGGAAACTGAGCAAGATTCACCAGCAGAGGTTCATTCAGATTCCTTTTGGTGTCCCTCTCTCTTCAGAAATGAGGATGCTCCTTTCCTCTGGGTATAGGGAGGTCACCTCTCATCTGAAGGGCTTAATGACCTCCTTCAGGTAAAAGTCAGAAAATCCTTCCTTTGGGAGGCCAACTTGGGCAAATTACTTGAGGTCAGGAGTTCAAGACCAGGCTGGTCAACGTGGTGAAAACCCATCTCTACTAAAAGTATAGAAAAATTAGTTGGACATGGTGGTGGGTGCCTATAATCCCAACTAACCAGGAGGCAGAGGCTGCAGTGAGGCAAGATCATGCCACTGCACTCTAGCCTGGACAACAGAGCAAGACTGTCTCTCAAAAAAAAAAATACAAATCAGAAAATCCTTCCTTTTATAACCTGCTTCAGAGGAGAAGGGGCTGGGGGGAGATCAAAGTGGCCCTCCTCTTTTGCTGTTTTCTCAAATTCCTTTAGCTTAAAATATTCAGTACGTCAAGGTGCCATATTTTAGGGTAGCACATCCAGAGCCCTATTACTGGTATCTCTTGGATGCGGTTCATCTTTGCCCCTATGAAATGCATGAGCATCCCTCACCCTGCCATTGAGGGAAGCACAGTTCCTTCCTGATATGGCTGTCTGCTTTTTGTCTGTTGGTTTTGATTTTTCACTCTCACTTTCAGTTATTGCATATTTCTCATGCCTGAATCAATGCACCACTAATCCAAAATGTCTCCCAGTTGCTGGAAATACATAACAGCTTCCTTAATTGGTCTTGTTGATGCCCATTCTTTAAAGTTTAAGATGAAAGAGGTGGTGACAGCACCCTCATCCATCCTACCGCACCTTTTCACAGGATAGAGCGTTTGGAGTACAGTACTTCTAAAGAAATTCTTGGCCGGGCGCAGTGGCTCACACCTGTAATCCCAGCACTTTGAGAGGCCAAGGCGTGTGGATCATGAGGTCAAGAGATCGAGACCATCCTAGTCAACATGGTGAAACCCCGTCTCTATTAAAAATACAAAAAAAAAAAAAAATTAGCTGGGCATGGTGGCGCATGCCTGTAATCCCAGCTACTCAGGAGGCTGAGGCAGGAGAATTGCCTGAACCCAGGAGGCGGAGGTTGCGGTGAGCCGAGATCGCGTCATTGCATTCCAGCCTGGGTAACGAGCGAAACTCCGTCTCAAAAAAAAAAAAAAAAAAGAAATTCTTTACAGATCCTCTTTCTTTCCAACCCCCTTCTCATATTAAAAAAAAAAAAAAAACCTTGACGTGCTTGAGGGAGTTCGAGTTGTGTAGCAGGATTACAACCATTTGCTTTCTAAATTCTGCAAATAATCATCTGTCTCGTAAATCTTAGAATCTGGTATTTGTTACATGCTTTATTGGTACCTCAGTCAAAAAAAATTTTTTTTAAGGGGTTGGGGGGAAGTGATCATCTTTTGAGCTTTTTAAAATAAATATTAGAAACGGCTTTTTGGTCATTAGGATTTTTCCAGACATAGAAGAATCATGAGGAATCACAGTTTGACAAAGGACTTTATCTGTATGGATGGACTTTATCTGTATGATATTCAGTTAGGGGAAATGGAAACAAGCGATTATCCAACATTTGTCAGAATTACTGTAGCCATAAAAGTAATCCATAAAAAGTAATACAGTTGATTTTGGTTTCCATTTTAGTAATATATTTAGGTTAAATCAGAAAGGTGTTACAGCATTTGATATAAAGGCTTGGTATCAGGTAAACCATCCTGCTTTGGAGATTTGTATACCATTCTTTCTAGAGATTATAATTTATCTTCTTAGGACTTATTTTTGCAATTTTATTTCAGATTTTTTTATTTCCTGCAGTTCTTGTTTTTTGATTTTGTTCTTTATACTGCATAAATCTGTTTTTCTCCTGTGGTTTAATATTCATACATTCTCTTATTCTTAAGTTGAATTGCCTTTAACTTAAGCCACTTACTGTCTTAGTTTGAGCCTCTCCCTCTCCTTCCACTGTCCCACGTGGGTGGGGGTGGCTTATTTGGGACATGGTCCCAGGAAGTAGAGTGAAAGACTAGGAAAATGAGGCAAGGAAGGGAGAAAACCAATAAAGGGTTATAAATATCACTGTGGGTCACCGGGGCTCAGTTTCCCTGAGAGGCCTCAGAAGCACACCAAGGGAGGCTGAGGTATTAATCCCACCCCCCAGAGGCATTAGTCCCCCCTTGGGGATGCATCAAGACAGCCCCCAGCAGAACAGCAGACCCCCCTGCAGCATAGGCTGGAGGTAGGGCAGTAACACCTGGCACAGGAACTGCACTCCAAAGCTGCACTGAAGCGACCAAGAGGACGAGGGGAGGAGGGGATGTACATGCAGCCACAGGCATCTGTTCCAGGGTTTATTTACCTCCCTTGATTATATAAACATCTTCCCTTCTTCACACAAGCACTTTGGCACATTCCCACATTTCTTTGATCTCTCCCATTCTGTCTCCTCCTAAATAATTTTGGGATTGTTATGGACATACTTTATCTTTTGGTCTTTTATTTTTTAACTAACATTGAGCTTTTCTTAACCCTTCTTACTGCACATATCTCTGACACTGTCTGCTTGTTTGTTTTCCATCGCATATACTTCCTCTAAGAGGTTTTTTTGGTTAACTGTCTGAGACCTTGAACACTTGGAAATACCCTATTGTGCCCTCAAATTTAAATGGCAGTTAGCTGGACCTAAAGCTGTAGGCTTAAAGCTAATACATTGAGTTTTATAATAAAGAACAATTTCTTTTTTTTGAGACACAGTCTCATTCTTTTGCCTATGCTGGAGTGCAGTGGCACAGTCACAGCTCACTGCAGCCTCGTCCTTGCAGGCTCAAGCAATCCTCCCACCTCAGTCACCTGAGTAGCTGGGACTACAGCCATATGCCACCACACCTGGCTGATTTTTGTATATTTTGTAGAGATGGTATTGCCCAGGCTGGTCTCTGAGCTCAAGCGATTCATCTGCCTCGGCCTCCCAAAGTGCTAGAATTAAAGGTATGAGCCACCGTGTCCAGCACAGTTTCTTAAAATATGATTATATAATGATTTTTTATTTGTAGTAAATACAAGTTTATTTTTCAGTATACTCATGTGATCTCTTCAGTTTTATTTTTCCTTGAATTCTGACAAGGTCTCAGGGTGTCTTTGTCTCTCTCTTTCTATATTTTGCATAATTAATTATTTGGATTAAAACCTGTTTTTAGGTCAGGCACAGTTACTCACATCTGTAATTCCAGCACCTTGGGAGGCTGAGATGGACAGATAATCTGGAGCTGAGGAGTTTGAGACCAACTTGGGCAACACTGGAAGACCCCATCTCTACCAAAAAAAAAAAAAAAAATTAGCCATGCATGATAGCGTGCGCCTGTAGTCCCAGTTACTCAGGAGGCTGAAGTGGGAGGACTGATTGAGTCCAGGAGGTTGAGGCTGCAGTGAGCCATGATTGTGCCACTGCACTTCAGTTTGGGCAACAGAGTGAGACCTTGTCTCAAAAAAAAAAGCACAACAACAAAAATGAACCTTCTTTTTTTACAGTAATAGCAAACTGCTGTTTTATTCTGTGATCTTTTGCTTTCTACAGTATTCCCTCTGGTAATATGTAGATATACAGACTATTTTTGGCTCTGGAGTGTCTTAGATAGCCCAGGCACATCTTGAGTCTTAGTAGAAAACTCTTATACCAGAGGGATCTGTAAGGAAGGAATAATGGTAAGAAAATATGCCTTGATTTCAGGAAATCCTCTTGACCCCCAGGATGATATCCTCTTGTTTACATGTTTCTTTTTATCACAATACTATCTGAATCAATAGCTAATAATTTATAAAACTCCTTCTTCTAACAGGTTTAGTTTTTGATATTATCAGCCTAAAGTGACAGTTGATGGTTAAAATACTGTCAATGGATAACAGTATGGCTAGAAATTATACAGTTAAACAGGGTAAAAACTAAGTCCCCCCCCATTTTATATATATATATTTTACTCTTGGAATTGGCTCTCAAATTATGTTCCTTAGGATCACTGGTATTCTATAGAAATAAAATAATACAATTTATTTAAAAAGTGAATTGAATGAGCAAATTATGATTTCTTCTCATAAATTTTTCTTAAATCCGTGCTGAAAGAAATTAAGAAGCAAACTAACAAGAATTTGGCAACACCTAATCATTTTTAGTTTGCCATTCTCTCTAGCTTTTATAATGGAATTAAATCAGTATTTTATGGTATTCCAAAAAGAATGTGTATGGTTTTAAGGCTACTGTGACAGGTGAACATGTTTGAGATCCATTGTTTTTGGTAAAAACTGGCTGAGTTAGAAAATACAGTGTATAAGGTGAAAAGTAAAGAAGGGTGGTAGAAAGATGAGTTTAGCATTTAATTTACATAAAAGTTGTTTTGAATGGATAAAAGTTGTCCCCATTTAGCATGAGATTGTTTTATTAATGTAAATAACATTTTTATTTTGGGAACTTACAGGAGCCCAGGCTTGTGTGCTCGTGTTTTCTACCACAGATAGGGAATCTTTTGAAGCAGTTTCCAGTTGGAGAGAGAAAGTAGTAGCTGAAGTTGGAGATATACCAACTGTACTGGTGCAAAACAAGATTGATCTCTTGGATGATTCTTGTATAAAGAAGTAAGATGGCTACTTTTGGGGGAGGAGGGACAGTAATTCTATAAAGTTAAGACATTATAATTTTTGCCTAGTTTTACAGCATCTAAGAAAATTTCTATACTTAACATTTTGAAGGTTTTAAATTACTTAAAAGATTTCAATTAAAATTTCTGTTAGCTTTTCTGTGTGACTGGTTTGAGTTAAAAGATTCATTCTGATTCATAAGTAGAGAAAACTGAAGGAATAAAATTTGAAGGCTCTTTTAGAATTCTAATCTCAAGTCTTTGCACAATAAATCCAATTCTTCATGTTAAGTCAAGTCAAACCTTAATATAGTAAGAATGTTAAGAAAAGCATTCCTAGATTTTATAATATCCATAATAAATAGCTATCCTTTATTGATGAATTTTAATTAAGGGTTCAGATTCATATTGTTTTGTATAGTTAGAACTCTTAGGCTCAAATTTGTGAACAGAATTTGGCATCCAGATAATTTGTTTATAAATATTTACTTATTGCAATTATTAATATTTTTGCTAGCTTTGAAAGTTTTTGGTTTTTACCTTTTTTTTTTTGGTCTTCTGTTAGTTGTTTGTTACTGTATAACAAATTAGCCCAAAACTTTGTCTTAAAACAACAAACATCTATTATATCACAGTTTCTGTAGGCCAGGAATTTGGGAGTGGCTTAGCTGGTGGTTTTTCATGAAGCTGCAGTCAAGATGTTGGCTAGCCCTGTTCTCACAGAAAGGCTTCACTGGAGCTGGACCATCCATTTCTATGATGGCTTATTCACTCAGCAGGAAGCCTTAGTTCCTTGCCAGATGGGCCTCTCCTTGGCGCCGCTTAAGTATTCTCACAACATGGCGGCTGTTTCTGCCAGAGTGGGTAATCCAAGAAAGAGCAAGACAGAAGCCACAGTGTTTCTTATGACCCAGTCTTAGAAGTCACATACTGCCCCTTGCATTGTACATTATTGGACTCCCAAGACCAACCTTGATTATAGTGTGGGAGGAGAGTACACAAGAGGCTGAAGACAAGAAGCCAGGGAAATAGTGGAGCCTATTCCCACGGTTACTACAGGCTCTAATGATGTTAATATCAGGAGTCCACAACCAGGAATCCTGATTATCACTGAAAATAGGAGTACAATTGGAGATACTGTCATTAATATACTGACTTTGGCTTTAGGTAGCAAAACTGTTTCATGAACAGTAAGAATAAAATAAGAATTCACTGTAAGATTTTCAGAGTGTAATTAAATACAGTGTTCTTAGGCAGAGAGAAAATTAAAGTATCATAAAGAAAAGTGATATTTTCTTATTTTAGGGCTAGAGATTAATGACTATAGAAAAAATCTTCTGTTTACACATAGAGTATAATAGCTGGTGTTGATTTCTCAAGAGTAGTGAAGACTAAAAATTAGTTCAGCACTAAGTGAAAATGTAGCTTTCAACTGGTTTTACTTAACTGAGCATTGATAATCAAGCTCCTTTAAAAAGAAATACGAAAATTTTCTGAAAATCTGATCCACCTTCCCTCCCTGCCCTGCCAAACTCTATTCAGTAAATGTAATTAAAAGTGATTTTTTTTAAAAAAGCTATCAGAAGGTACCTTTGTAAAGCATTTTTCTTTAATTGCTATGCAGTGAGGAAGCTGAGGCACTGGCAAAAAGGTTAAAGTTAAGATTCTACAGAACATCAGTGAAAGAAGATCTAAATGTGAATGAAGGTAAATTGCCTTTAAAAGATATATATTGCAAAAAGAAATTTTATTCCTATGCTTTAAAAATTGTGTTTAAAAATTATATTTATAACTAGAACAAGATTTTTTTATTGGCTAACATCAAGTAGAATTTAAAGCCTTTCTACTTCTTTTTGTTAGTCCTTAATTATTTACTAATGCCCTTGAATACTTTTCATCCTGGTGAGGTTTTCCATTTTTATTATTATCGTTGAAAAATCTAAGCTATATATGTGTCAGAGTATATGCATATATGTTTTTTGTTGATAGCTGTTAAAAATAACTCAGTTGTTCTAGACCTTCATGGTAGTCGATATTCCACTAGTTACAATGACTTTAAGTTGTTTAATAATATTTCCTAATGTAAGAAAGTGAAATTAGAGAAAGATGTTCAATTAGTTTTTTCATTCTAGAATTGCTACTTATTAGGTTGCAACTAGATTTTCTCTTGGATCTCTATTTTGGATACTTTTCTTCACCTAAAGAAAGTAGACATATTTTCAAGACTGAGTCTCTTTAGCATTGTTCAGTATTAATCACTATTCGGTTACTTAAAATAGAAGAACCTATTACTGTAAGTATTATTTCACTTATTTACTAATAAAATACCATGTAATTTGTTAATATTATCATTCTAATTCTCAGATATTGCCCAAATAATTTTTAAATGTTGACTTTTTAACTAGATTATATGCTTCTAATTCTAATTTAACTTTAAATTTGTTTAGTAAGTATAAATAATATAAATTATGTGAAATAACATATTTACATGCATAAATAATTGACGTAGTTTTGGGCATTTTCTTTTTATTCCAGTTTTTAAGTATTTGGCTGAAAAATACCTTCAGAAACTCAAACAACAAATAGCTGAGGATCCAGAACTAACGCATTCAAGTAGTAATAAAATTGGTAAGTACCTAGGAAATTTTAGCCCATGTTTATTTGGTAAATTTGTTTTCCATTCATTATTATTTACTTTTTAAAAAATAAAATGTGCTCATTTCTTTCAGAAATGTGATTTAAAAGTAATTATTAAACTGACGAGTCAGTGATTATTAAACTGATAAGTGTCAGTCTCTTGTTAAAAGGTATATTGAATTAATGGGGTTTTTTTGGCCATTAAATTTTATAAATTCATTTGACAGATTAAACACAGCAGAGATAAAGACTTTTTATAAAGAGCTGTCCTTTATAAAAAGGAGCTTTATGACACTTGTTCTTCTGAATCTATACTTATACTGGCTCTTACCTTTTTCCTTTCTTACCGTCTTGCTTATTACCCATTACTGATTTTGCTTTTTCTCATGTTAAATGCTAGCAAAACTTTAGCACTCCCTGAAGAACAAGTGTGTTATGTTCTCTTTCACAGTAACTGCCTGACCGTGTTTCCCCATCTTACTTTGGATTCCAGGAAAATGACAGCCTTGCTGCCTCTAAATCTTTTGTACATTCTCTTAAAGAATTCATATCTTTCTTCCATTCCCCTTCACTACATATATATAAACAAACACATTATTTTCTGGACCTGTTTTAACTAGATTTTTTTCTGAGATCTGGCTTTTTTCCTGACTTGGCCATTTTCATTGCATAATTCCTTGCCATCAGAGAACTCAAATGCCTTGTGAACACAGGACACCTGGTGTGGTCTCCTTGACCCCACTCTTGTCTTCTTCATATCTACTGTTAAAGCTGTATCGAATAAGACTCATTGTGGAACAAAGTAAATGCAGAGTCTCTTCATTCAAACATTTAAAGATGGTTTTGCCCTTCCTTTGTATAGCCTTCTGCCCCACCATTACATATATGTATACTCCATTTACTGGTTCTCTCAGAGGTCTTGATCTTCCCTGAGTATGCCCCGTGGTTGCTTGCTTCTTCACTGTTGGTTATTTTGTTTCTTCTGTTGAGAATGACCTCTTTCCCATCTTCTGTCAAGGAACAATTCATTCCTTGAGGCCTTTTAGAAAGCTCTCAGTTGTATATCTGCCTGCCTGAAGACAGCCTCTTACTCTTATTCTGTTTTTTTAAAGAAACAGGGTCTCACTATGTTGCCCAGGCTGGTCTTGAACTCCTGGGCTCAAGTGATCCTCCTGCCTCAGCTTCCCAGTGTTGGGATTACAGGTGTGAGCCACTGCCCAGCCTCCATCTTCTCCTAAAAGAATAGACAGCTAAGTCTAGGGCATTGCCAACTGTCCAGTTCTCCCTTCTTCATGTGGTTTTTCCTTTCTGATGTATCAGATGCAATGTGTCCTTCCTTTGAACCTTCTGTAGGATTTTGTGTCTCTTTTAGACTCTTAACATGTAATGTCATATGGCATTACTTGTTTACTGTCCTATTACATTGTAAACTTCTTATGGGCGAAAATTGGTCTTAGTCACCTTTGTATCCGACAGTATCTCTGCCCTGGAATTTTGTGTGTCAGGCATGCTAAATCATTCATAAATTGGAGATTACATTTTGTGAATAGCACAGTTCAAAATGGAAACTATAAAGTTCTTTTAGCTACTCATCACTTTTATCTGTGGGCCACTTTATTACTGTTTTACTGTAAGTAGGAAAAAACCTATCTTACTACTATTAACACAATCTCATAAATAGCTGGTGTGGTGGCTTGTGCTTATAATCCCAGCTATTTGGGAGACTGAAGCAGGATTGCTTGAGGCCAAGAGTTTGAGACCAGTTTAGACAACATAGCAATAGCCTGTCTCTTAAAAACAAAAGAAAAATTAGCCAGTGGCACATTCTTGTGCCTGTAGTCCCAGTTACTCAGGAGGCTGAGGCAGGAGGACTGCTGGAGCCCAGGAATTCAAGGCTGCATTAAGCTATGATTGCACCGCTGCACTCCAGCCTGGTGACAGAGCAAGACCCCATCTCTTAAATTAAAAAAAAAAAAAAAACAAAAAAAACCCCACACAGCTCACAAATACTGTTACTGTTAACTAAGTTAGGTATTCTTGAGACAGTGATATGATGTGAAGTTAATAAGTTATTAAAATTACCATATTTACTGATTCCAGATTTCAAAAATAAATTGTCATAAGATGCAGAACAGTGTATACAATACGCCACAACTTAGGTAGAAAAGAGAATATATATGCATTTTAGCCTGTATATGCATGAACTATATCTGGAAGGATAAGAAGGAAAAGTGGTAACACATGTACCCTTAGGGGAGGAAAACTGGCAAGGGGTGAAAGTCCCGGAGAAAAAGAGCCTTAATTTGACCTCTTTTCTTGGAGTGGGGGGCACGGAATTTTGCTGTTTTGCCCAGGCTGGAGTGCAGTGGTGCGATCTTGGCTCCCTGCAACCTCTGCCTCCCTGGTTAAAGCGATTCTCCTGCTTCAGCCTGCCAAGTAGCTGGGATTACAGGCATGTGCCATCACACCTGGCTAATTTTTGTATTTTTAGTAGAGACGGGGTTTCACCATGTTGGCCATGATGGTCTGGAACTCCTGACCTCGTGATCCGTCCACCTCAGCCTCGCCAAGTGCTGGGATTACAGGTGTGAGCCACCACACCCAGCCAGGGTGACCTCTTTTATAGCCATGTGTATTAGCTATTAAATACCATGTCTATTAGCTATTAAAAATAAAAATAAAACTAAAAGCTTTAAAATCATAAATCTGTGTCCATTGACATATGAATGGATAAGCAAAACATGTTATATACCTAAAATGTAGTAGTATTTATTTACCCTTAAAAAGGAAGGAAATGCTGCAGTATTCTATGTTGGATGAACCTTGAAGACATTATACTAAGTGAAATAAGTCGGTCACAAACACTGTATTATTCAATTTATATAAGGTAGAGTAGTTAAAATCATAGAGACAAAAGATAGAATGGTGGTTGCTAAGGTCTACAGGGAGGGGGAATGGAGAGTTATTGTTTAATGGGTATCGAGTTTCAGTTTTAAAGATGAAAAGAGTTATGGAGATTGATGGTGGTAATCATTCCACAACATTGCACATGTATTTAATACCACTGAACCATATGCTTAAAAACAGATAAGATGGTGAGTTTTGTTGTATTTTAAAATTTAAAAAACTGTAAGTATTTGAAAATACTACTGATTTTACTAACAAGCTGGATGCAACAAGTGACTCTGAGGCATGTCAGTGCCAATCACTGTTTTCCCTCAATTTATACAGGTGTCTTTAATACATCTGGTGGAAGTCACTCGGGTCATAATTCAAGTACCCTCAATGGTGGAGATGTCATCAATCTTAGACCCAACAAACAAAGGACCAAGAAAAACAGAAATCCTTTTAACAGCTGTAGCATACCCTAAAATGTTTTGAGAGGAAAAAAATTGAATTTACATTGTGCAATTTAGTAAGAAACTCATCCAGCTGTCATGGTATGTTACAAGGTTTTCAGCAGTCTTTGCACCTAATGGCTCTCTGAAAGTGACAGACTTAAATATTGCTCTGCAGTGCTTTTGAGAATGTAGAGTGAGACCTTTGGTGGAAAAATTACTGCCCTGTGGAGTCCTTTAATTTTTTTTTTACATTAGATGAAGCTTCTCCAATTTTAAGAAATTTCAAAATGGGTTTTGCTAAATTTTAAATGCTGGAAAACATAAATGAAATGCCTAAATATATTATAGATTTTAATACTGTGGATCAGGAAAGATAGCAAGCATTCTTTTCCTCAAATTGGTCATCTGGCTTTTCTGCAAAATAGCATTGGATCTGAATACTTTCACAAAAGTAATACTGAAAGATTAAATCTTGCCAGACTGCATTAGTATTTTAGTACTTGTGCAATATCTGTGTCATGTAGACTGTGAGGTGTGCATGCAGATGTCTGGTACTGGAGTCAGCTGAAGGTAAGTGCAGTATTTAAGAAAATATACATTCTAATTCACTTTAAAAACCATTTACATATTATGTATATGTTTTTATTTTCAAAACTCTAGACATATATTTTGCAAAACGAGCTTGGGTTTAAAAAGTGCTTTGTGCCAAAAAATACCATACCTAATTTTTATAGTGCTTTACTATTGTTTATTGTATCTTTTAAAAGCAGTAAGCAGTTTTCCTCTGTGACAGCATAGATAAAAGAGGAGTCTAGGAATTTTAATGCTAGAGCAATCTCCTTGGTGAGCCCTTATTGCAAAATCTGTGGCATCATCACCCGTAAGTATAGTGAGCTCCTGCTGTCATTAGATCAGCCAAAGCCCCTTAAGAAGGTACACAGCACATCTGCAGTCATTCAGGAGGTCCTGTGAAGTGTGGTGCTGCATCTAACACCTTTTGCTGCTCACTAACCCAGCTTTGCACTTACAAGATTATACTAACCATTTTTTAAATGCACACAAATATTATTATTACTCTTAACCCAGATTACAGATTTTACAGTGCCCTGCAACTCAAAACCATTCTGTTTATACTTTTACATGGTACTTTAAGATGATCACTTCCAAATTTCTCTAACCTTCAGTTTCTAGAGCACTGTCTGAAGAACTGTCAGTCCCACATACGAAATCATTTCTTTTACAAAATCATTTCATATGTAATCATGTGTCAAGGCATAAATTTTGTCAGTTGAGACAGTAGCTTTCCAGCTAAGATAATTGCATGCACTCTGTTAAAACCTATTATCATTCATCAATGGCTTTATTTTTAACCTTATGAATAACCCCTTTCAATATACCTGGTTTTTATAGCATTTCAAAATATGTAAAAATAACTTCTGTTATTAGAAAATGAGTCATGAAGTCATTTTTCATTATTTGTACTAAAAAATGTTTTATGTATTCCTTTTGTGTTTTGTTTTTTAAGTCTTCCATCTGCACCCCCCTCATCCTCCTAATGCTGAGAAAATCAAATTTTCTGGGTGTGTCCTTGTTAAGTGATCAAAAGTAAATGTTCTCTTTGCCATTTTAGATTGAAAAATAAAAATATTAAAAAGTAAATTTTCGCTTTTCATTATATTGAAATGATCTGGCACCATCTATTTCACAGTAATATAAAATGTTTTTCTGTCACTGGTTGTCACCACTCGCATTGCTGACAGTGGGATAGGTGTCGGGGGCAAAACCCAGTTCTTAACAGTGGATACTGCTAATCATTCATCTTTTCCACTCTCTTCAGATGATAGTCTCTTTAATTCTTGCACAAATTAATACTTTGCAGCAAACAGTCCTTTGGTCTTTATTGGCAGAAGAATCACTTGTTATATGTGTTCTGGTTATTTTTCATATTAGTTGTGTGGATAAAAGTATGTTACCTTTCTATATTAATCTGAGGATAGCTGCAGTTACTCTAATATTTGTAATATAATTTTATGTACTTAGTTTTATTTTTTTAAACAAGAACTGAGAGTGATCTGTTATACATTTGAATTTTTAATTTGCACCGCTGTATTTTAGACCTAACCATACTCATTTAAAATAATTAAGTAGGCCTGAAAGTCAGCCACATGTTAATTACTCAATTTAATCAATTTTTAAAGCCTTCACAAATTCATAAGTTTTTTCCAACACCCTTCATTCTCTTAAATAATTTTGACCTTATGAAACCATATGTACTAAAGAAAAACTTTTTCAAGATTCCAGGTTACTGTGCATTTGTGCTGTAATCTACTTTTTCAACATTACAGCTACTCTTTTGCATACAGACATATCACTGCGGAATAACTGCCATATTTCAGAGTTCCTCAGGTTTCCTTTTCCTTTTTCAGTCTCTGTCTATGAATTAAATAGTATACAGAATAGCCCATATAAAGCAATATAGTTAAATAAAACCAGGTTAAATGATTTCCTTTGTATCTGCCCAAAGTTGATAGCACACATGTACTTTTACAAAATAAACTAAAACTACCAAAAAGAGGATGAAAACTTTCCTCATTGTGGAGTGGAGTTTTAGGTGATTGCTTTAGAAGTTGGTAATGTCGTGCTCAGAAAGAACTCTCAGTAACACATACTCCTTGGACTTGCGAGTTTTAGGAAATCGGACCTTTTCTGAAGATCTTAGAATGGGGAGTTGGCCTTAGGACCTAACCAAGTTGGTGTTGGACCCTTTTAATAGAAGATATTGTTAATTATTAACATCTTTTTCAAAACCTTTGAAATAGTTACTGGTAACCTGGTAAAATGTTCCCATTAATCTATCATTACTCTGTTTCTCTGAAAAGAAAATTAACTGATGAGGCGAAAGCTAGTTCCACGGGGCACCTACCTAATGAACAGGACTTACTCAGTTTTAGAATGTCATGTGTATTATAGTCACTCCTTAGGATTTTAGTTATAAAACACCTAAGTCTATCATCACACAGATGAATTTATTTGCTAACAAATATTTAAAGCCACAGTAGACTCTGAAATATCCAACCATCAAAATCCTGGGTAACTGGATGATTTGGCTATAATAATCTTTATTAGGTAGTGCTTCCTTTCATCTCTCTCTTGAAATGTCTACAGGAGGATGTTAGTAAATGATCTTTTAAAAATAAAAAATTTGGAATAAAAGGAAAACTGAATTTCTTCTATATTTTTGTTACTAATAAATAATGCTTTTGTAAATTTGAATGGAAAAACCACTTGTATGTATTATTTGGTTGCAATTATGTTGTCGAGCTTAATTTAAAATACAGTACTCAATAAAAATTTCATGAAGGATGAATTCCAATAATCAAAAAATAAATGCATTTCAAAGCTAAAATTTTGTGTGATATGTATGACTGTATCAACAGGATGAAACTAAATACTAAAATATATAATGTAACTTCTTTAAAGATCAAAGCGACCTAAAAATATTTCATATACTCTGCCAATATTTAATACCCTCCCTTTTACTGAAAGCAGTGTTAACAAGGAATGGCAGGACTACCTTAAAATTGTATATTACATTCTAGAAATGGTATAGAATTGAGATAGAGCAATACATACTCTATATCCACTTAATCTGTAGAAATGACAGCAGTTTAAATGAGGGTAAAAATGTGACCCAGGAGATTCATTATCATTTGAAAATAAATTATACTCCCCCCCCCATTTTTTTTGAGACAGTCTTGCTTTGTTGCTAGGTGCCAGACTAGAGTGCAGTGGTGTGACCTCAGCTCACTGCAACCTCCGCCTCCCAGGTTCAAGCAATTCTCCTGCCTCAGCCTCCCAAGTAGCTGGGACTACAGGCATGCACCACCACGCCCAGCTAATTTTTGTGTTTTAGTAGAGAAGGGGTTTCACCATGTTGGCCAGGATGGTCTTAATCTCTTGACCTTTCTATCTTCCCACCACAGCCTCCCAAAGTGCTGGGATTATAGGCATGAGCCACTGCGCCCAGCCTTACTCCTCTCATTCTTGGAAATAAAAATACACGTTAAGAATCAACACGCTGGCCAGGTGTGGTGGCTTACGCCTATAATCCCAGCACTTTGGGAGGCCGAGGTGGGCAAATCACAAGGTCAGGAATTTAAGACCAGCCTGGCCAATACGGTAAAACCCTCTCTACTAAAAATACAAATATTATCCGAGCATGGGTGGTGGGCACCTGTAATCCCAGCTACTCAGGAGGCTGAGGCAGGAGAATCACTTGAACAAGGGAGGTGGAGGATGCAGTGAGCCGAGATCACACCACTGTATTCCAGCCTGAGTAACAAAGTAAGACTTCCTCTCAAAAAAAAAAAAAAACCACACTGAGATTTCCTGCCCCTTGGATTTGGCTTTAGGTACAGAGTGCTTGGAGACACTGCAGACCAGGGACCCCAAGCAGCTTGGAAATGTGGATCATAGCTCTTCAAGTCTGTGATCAGAAATGAGTGGCCTCCAATAAAAACTCCATTGCAAAAAAATGGGAAAAACAATGCTAAGAACACCAAGGTCAAGGAGGCAGAGCCAGAGTAATTTATGGTAGAAAAAGTCCTGGACTAATGGGGAGCTGGGAGCACTAGCATTTCCCAGAGTGGAGGGGATTTGCAGATGCTGACAATATTTGAGAACTTGAAAACTTGACCATTCATTTAATTTTCAAAAAGCTGGTCAAGAAAAAAATGATGCACACAAAAAATCATTTCAGCCTGATGACAGCAAATCAGTCCGCGAACAAACCAAGTGGCTTTGCCATAGATAGAATTAATGTTTCTCATGAAATGGAAAGATTTAAATAAGGCAGAGCTGGAGCTGGCAAAGGAAGTAACATGAATGTCTTCCGATTGTAACTGCTTTTTATAAAGAGACTTAACTTGGCATTTTTGTAGAGAAAATGAAGTTCAATATTGCTTGCATTGAGAGATACATATATAAAATCAATCTGGATCCTGATTTTGTTTTTCAGTATGAATACCTACATTCAAATAAAAACTGCTGTGTTCATTTTAAAATAGTATCTGGAGAAGTGGTTGAGGTTTTTGTATATCAATAGCACTAATTACTTTGAACAAGTAAGTGTTCTTTAGTTGCCTCACTTTATCCCAAATAAAAGAAGAATCAACACACTGGTGAACCTTTTTAACAGAATGCAAAGTAAAGTGTTGATACTCCATGCTGAAAAGATTCTAGTGAAATAGCTACATTTTAATTACTGAAAAAAGTATAAAAACTGCTATAACCTTTATAAAATTTTAATACCTGTGAGGCCATTAAAACATATATACTCTTTAACCGAATATAATTCACTCCTGGGCCTTTACACAGAGAAAATCAGAAACAAAAGAAGGAAAAAGTCCTGTGTACAAAAGTATACTGCAGTAATAGCAACAAGTAGGGAACAACCTACATGTTCATAAAAGGGGAATGGATAAAGATATAACTACATAAAATAGAGCTAAGTTGGCAATTAAACAGACTTTATATCAGTATCTAACTTTTTTAAAAAGGCAAGGTACAACGTAGGAATTTTAGAGAATTGATGCATTTGAGAAAAGATGAAGCAGATATATAATTGTTCACAGTGGTAAGTTATAGGTGATTTTCTCACATTTTATGTCATAGTTTCTCATGTATCAAAAACTACATTCATATTGAGACACATAAATATATCCAGAATAATTTGGTATAGATGCCTTAACATTGCTAAATGAGACAACTCTGGAAAGATTCTTGTTTTGTGATTCCTTTTATCCTAAGCACAGTGCTTTGTTAACACTGTGTGTGTGCTGCTTGGGGTAAAGAATTTCTAGACCAGGCACTGTGGCTCCTGCCTGTAATCCCAGCACTTTGGGAGGCCAAGGTGGGTGGATCATGAGGTCAGGAGATTGAGACTATCCTGGCCAACATGGTGAAACCCTGCCTCTACTAGAAATACAAAAAAAAATAGCTGTGTGTGGTGGTACGTGCCTGAAATCCCAGCTACTCGGGAGGCTGAGGCATGAAAATAACCTGAACCCGGGAGGTGGAGGCTGCAGTGAGCTGAGATCTGCACTCCATCCGGGTGACAGAGCGACACTCCGTCTCAAAAAAAAAAAAAAAATTTCTAGTCAGCTAAATGCCCCAGGTGACTGCATGATTCCACGCTAGACCAAGTACAGGAAAAAGCAGTGATGATGTTCTTATCCCTAGCTGAGCACTTGTTTTCCCCGACAAACTGTATTCATCCACAGAATAGTGAAATAAGCTAGATCCTAGTACGAGACAAGAATTCAATCTAAAAACTCTCTAGATAGATAATTAAAATATTGCTAGTTTTGTTATTCACAAAACTGAAGATACTTGATGGAATATTTTCCTCATCTCAGACAACTTTCCGTATCAACTAAGTGGCTATACCTAACACAAAGAACTAGTTATCAATTAAAATAGTATTGTACCATTTTTACACCACTATGTGTAAATGCTCTCGGGTTTGAAGACTAATTGAATCTGCTTTCAGCATTTTGTTGCAGAGTTTTGGAACTAGCTCCTTTAGAATGCTCTAACAGCTTGATGGCCTTGTCAGAGTTTTCAATGTTTCTAAGCAGAGTCTCTAATCTCCTCTTAATTTTCTTCTGATCTTCAAGAGCACAGCCAATGACTATGGATTGAAACTTCTGATCAACTGGCCCATGTGGCACCTCAGACGAACATGCACTGTAAAGCGACATTAAATGACTCTTGGCATTTCCCAAATCATCCAGAAACTTATTGACCACCTCATCGATAATCCTTGTGGCATGCTTTAGGGATTCTTGCTGCTGGGGGTTTCTAATTGTTTCTACTGAAACTTCAACGGTGAGAGTTCTTCCCATCAAACGGTTTGCAGTCAGATTTAATTCTTCTCTTTCTCCTAAAATACGAATCAATATGAGACATAAGCTTATCCATGTCAAGAACATTAAGGCATTTGTGACTAAATTTATCAAGTACCTCTGCTATGCAATTTTTTTAAAGATAAAAACTAAAACTATAGCATATAAGATTAACTGGTGAAATGTATTAGATTACCCAAAGAGGTTGAAGAATACCATTTCCTAACAATCTTTATACATGGGATCCCAGAAGACTTCCCAAATTGGCATGTTTGCAGAAGAATTGGCAGGTATGTATTTGTAACTAGGATGGAGATCAAGTCTTAACACCGTGAGGAGTAAGCATATATAGGGTTTGTGCTGGGTAGAGCGAGGTCAGATGTCCTAGATCTCTCCATTGATCAGAATACACTGCCCCAAATTTTGGTTGAGAAAATGCAGCCATGATAGAAGATAAGCTGGCCTCAATACAGGCACTGACTTCATCTTTCTCCAGACAGAAGCAGGACAGGAGTAAGTCTTGGCCAGCACAAGGAGGAGCTCTACCAACATTTCATTATTTATATGAAAAAGTCAGCAGTCTCCTGCTTGTTCTGTTTTGTAACTTCCTAACTCATTAATCTGTGGGCAGGATAGTGTAGAGAGACTAGATCACGACCCACCACAGATGTGCCACAGTTTTGATCTGGACTTAGATTGCTTAGTATCTCACCAGCCACTCGGCTCACTAATGAAGCCTGTGGCACCAAAGGAGCCCGAGTAGGAAGTACAATGCCAATTAAAGGAAATCAAAGTGACCTATTTCAACACAGCCAGTCATGTTCTTCACATGAAAATGACAGCACAGGCCAGGTGCGGTGGCTCACGCCTGTAATCCCAGCACTTTGGGAGGCTGAGGTGGGCGGATCACCTGAGGTCAGGAGTGCCAGACCAGCCTGGCCAACATGGTGAAACCCTGTCTCTACTAAAAATGCAAAAATTAGCCGAACATGGCAGCGGACACCTCTAATTTCAGCTACTCAGGAGGCGGAGGCAAGAGAATCGCCTGAACCCGAGAGGCGGAGGTTGCAGTGATCCACGATCGCACCATTGCACTCTAGCCTGGGCAACAAGAATTAAACTACCGACTCAAAAAAACAAACAAAGAAAAGGCCGGGCGCGGTGGCTCAAGCCTGTAATCCCAGCACTTTGGGAGGCCGAGGTGTGTGGATCACGAGGTCAAGAGATCGAGACCATCCTGGTCAACATGGTGAAACCCCATCTCTACTAAAAATACAAAAAATTAGCTGGGCACGGTGGCGCATGCCTGTAATCCCAGCTACTCAGGAGGCTGAGGCAGGAGAATTGCCTGAACCCAGGAGGCGGAGGTTGCGGTGAGCCGAGATCGCGCCATTGCACTCCAGCCTGGGTAACAAGAACGAAACTCTGCCTCAAAAAAAAAAAAAAAAAAAAGCACATTTTTACGTTCATGCCTTTACGTTCATGAGGACAAGTGTCCTCATTTCCTCTACATTTTCTTTCCTGTCTTTATTTTATGCCTCAATTCATCTTTTCTTGTCTCTACTTCTCTGCTTCCACTCTCTCACCCTTTTCCTCCACTTTTCAATGTCTTGCAGTCCAGTAACTTGTAAAGAACTGAAGTTATGAGTGTGAACCTGGGATAAAACACATGGCCTTACTGCTTGGGGCCAGCTCTTCTAAGCTTGCAGGCTTTTCCCTCTCTCCCAGCTATGGGCTTGGGGTAGGGAGCATACTGCAAGAAATCTCTGAGTAAGTGGCTGTTGTAATAAACTGACAGCTGCAGCTGCTCTCTGCGGCTCACATTAAATGCTGTGGCCTAGAGCACACATACCAAAAGTCAAGCAAAAATTTACCCACACTTATCACAAACTCTTTAAAGCAGTGTAAAAGACGAGCCCCTTCTGTGGAGATGACTCTCACCGTCACTGATCTGCCTCATGTCCTGGCTGTTTTGGATACTGTGGATCATTTCCAGAAGGATTTCTTTCTCTTGCTCAACAGCAGTTGCTGCTTCTCTCAAAGCTTCAACCCTATGGAAATTGGGGAAAAAAAACCAGTTACTGTATGGAGGATGTTCTTCCTGTTAATTTTCTTTCTCTCTCATTTCAGCCCAAATCAAGTTTAAAGATCACCACTTTTCAAAAATTCTTCATTCTTGCTTTAAAATTCTTTTTCTATTTTTATCCATTTGTCTTTCTCCCATTTCCTCTCAGCTCATAAGGTAATCATTCTCTTTACTGTTTGTCTAATAGCACTTATTTTTTTTATTAGATCTGTATCATTTGTATATTTTGAATTTATATCTCATTCTGTTTTTGCTTTTTTTCACTTTGCATCCAGGTTCTTATGAGTACTTTTTTTTTGAGACAGAGTCTTGCTTTGTCACCCAGCTGGAGCACACTGACACGATCTCACTGCATCCTCCACCCGCTGGGTTTAAGTGATTCTTGTGCCTCAGCCTCCAGGCCCGGCTAATTTTTGTATTTTTACTAGAGACGGGATTTCACCATGTTGGCCAGGCTGGTCTCAAACTCCTGAACTCAAATGATCTGCCCGTTGCAGACTTCCAAAGTGCTGGGATTCAGGTGTGAGCCACCGCACCCAGCCCCCATGTGAACTTCTAATCAGTTGCTTCTAATTGCTGTATAATACCCCATGCGTACACCTACCTGATTTTTCCTCTCCACTCTCCCAGAGATGTACAATCAGGTTGTCTACCAGATTCTCATTACACTATAAATAACACTTCTATGAATAAACATCCCTTTTGGACCTTGGTGAGGATTTCCTTAGGACATATACCAGGGCAGCATTGCTGAGACACGGGGTATATGTACTATGCTTCTAACTTAGTACTACGATTATTCTGCAGAATACCTGTATTCTTCATCCACTCTCCACAGCAAAGCACAGGAGTCCTCGTATCCTTACCAGCACTCCACATTTTCCAACTTACTACCAGTCTAATAGAAATACACTGATATGTCAGTGTTAACGTGCATTTTCCTAATAATTTCAGACATCTTTTTGTATCGTTAGCCTGTTCATAGACTTTTCCTATTTTGTTTTTCTATTTGTAAACAGGAGTTACTGTCCCCTTGTTGATATGTATACTCAAGAGATTCTTATTGGACACAGATATTGCAACCATCTCTCATCCTCTCATATAGGCCCCATGTCTGGGATGTCTTACACTAAAGAGAGACATTTATTTTGAGGTGATCAAATCCATTTTTTTTTTTTTTTTTTGCTTTAAGGCTTATGCTTTCGAAGTTTTGACCTAAGGTCTTCCCCCACCCCTTGGTCATATTTTCCTACTATTAACTTTCTAGTTCTACCTTCCTTATATTTATGTCTTTAATCCACCTAGAATCAACCCTTGTATGTAGTAGTTCGGTAAGGATGTTGTTTTATTTTTTTTTCCCAAATAGCCATTTTCCCCAACATTATTTACCAAACAATCCATCTTTCCCCTAGCAAATGTATATTAAGTTTATCTCTAAAATCTCTATCTCATGCATTAGTATATTTAACTGTTCTTATACCAGTGCCCAGTTTTTTTTTTTTTAATAGCACCAGCCTCATACTACATTTTACTATTTGGTAGAGCAGGCCCCTCAATCTTCTTTAAAGATAACTTAGCTATTTATGGACTTTTATATCTCCATATAAACTCTAGGCTAAATTTATTGTGTTTCTCAAAAATCAAGAGAAATTAGACATCTTTATAACATCATTCTGTTAAAGGGCGTGATCTATGTCTCTTCATTTATTCAGATCGTCTATAGAGTTCTGATGTATTCTTCATAGTAATCTTTGTGGATATTGTTGCTGTTGTGAATTTATATTTTCTAGTTGATTTTTACTGGTTTGAGAAGTGCTGGTTTTGTAGGTTTATCTCGTCGCTGACGACCTTAATTTACATATACTCATTTTAGTGTTCAGTCTATTGATTCTGTTGGTTCTTCTGGGTTAATGATCGTATCATCTGCAGTAGTTTTTATTTCTTCCTTCCCAATCCTATTACCTTTTTTTTTTTTTAAGAAAAGGTCCTCCAGTCTTCCAGTACTGTATTAAACAGTGGCAATGATGGAAGTGTCTTTGTCTTTTCCCAAGTTTAAGGGAAAGTCCCTGTGGTTTTTTTGTGTGTTAAGTCCTGTTCAAACTATAGAAGCACTACTTTCTCCACCTCCCTCAACTGCACACACATGCACTCACTATACATACACATGAATATACCCAGTCACTAAAAAGCTAAGCTGTGGAATCATGGGAGCAACATAAAAATACACATATTGTATATTTAACCTGTTCTGTACTTCCAGGGCACCTTCTTATTATGAATTACAGTAACTAAGTCACCAACTTTTGCAAAATGAAATAGTGACAGACCTATCCCCAGTATTTGGATGGTCTGAGAAAATACAAGGTCATAAAGATCTAATCCTAATTGCTGTCTTAAGTGTGCACAGAAAGAACAACTTCACCAATGTTTTAGCATGTTCAATTCCATAAAAGGATCCTCCCCTACCCCAAGCACACACATGCCTTTTCCCCCTTTGGTTACCCACCTATTATACCCCAAAATAGTACTGACAGGCTGTAAAATCACAAGGTATCTTTATTCTTCAAGATATTAAACACATGTCAATCAATGAGAGCTTGTTATGTTGCTCAGGTTGGCCTTGAACTCATGGCCTCGCCTCCTCAAGTGCCAGGACAACTGGGCGGAGCCACCGCGGCCCCCAAAACTCATGTCAAACTTTGTGTTTATAAGAGCCAGTAAAAGCAAAGAACTGGGAAGAATCTCGTGACAAATTTGGCTAGAGAACACACTCAAATTACAATATTCTACAGAGTAATAGTAATGCAAGTATCAGGCCCTATTACAGGACTATTCCCTATTTACTTAAACATTTTACATTAGCAGTCTTTCAGAAAGATAAACTAGGGCCCAGAATGTAAGAAAGAGACCGAGTTGGCAATGAATACTTATACTAAAAGCACAAATCATGACCCCAATAAGTATTTAGACAAATGACACAGGTAAATCATGTGACTGGTAAAGAGAAGATGCTGAAAGAAGAGATTAATTTTTCAACACTTTTTTGGTTTGTATTCAATTGTAAGATGACAAAGAGAGAACAATGTTATTCTGAAAAGGAAAGTTTCATTTACTAGTTATAGCAGTCAGATCATGTTGTTAACAAAATAAGATAAAAAAGACATTCTAGGAAAAAAAATAAGCCTGTCATATGAAGAAAATATTTTATCATTAAATGAGACCAAATAATTAGATGAAACTTCTAAATTTTGTGTTTTTTGGACCCTCCCCCCACCCCCAAAGGCTTTCTTTAAATATATAATAGAAATTACCAGGGCATTATCCCTATGAAAAACAGATTTCATCATTTATAGAACTTCTTATATACATTTTTATGCATACCTTTTTCATTTCATGAAAAGGCAAAATGTCATTCTTCAGAATGTAAACATCTCAGGGTTTATTTGGCAGCATGGGTTTTTCACGTCCTAGTCCCTCTTCAGGTAGCCTTCTTTCTCCCTGCCCCTTGTCTACTGGGTGATCCTTCTTCAAAACCCAATCCCTTTGGCAGGAATTGTTTCCTTAGCTTCTCCCTTCCTTTCCCATATGACAATTCATGCTTCCTTTGGCCCTGTACATTCATTTATTCTACGGACTACCTCATATCTTACATTTTTTCTTTTAAAAAGCTGAATCTAGATCTCTAGTTAATTTAAGTAACATTTGTACTGTTCATCTGCCATTGCTATCCTTAAACTCATTACGTGTCTTTTGTCTACACTTTACAATTTTCCCATTAGTTCTAGAAAATTCTTAGACGTTCTATCTTTGAATATTCCCTGACTCCCATTCTATTATTTTCTTCTGGAACTCTGGTTAGAGAAATGTTGGACCATCTCACTTTATCCTTCATGTTTCTTAATATCTCATCTGACAACACTTCTCTTGGCGGAGAGGGGCAGTTCTGTTTTTACTAACAGATCCTGGAAGCAGCTACAACTCCAAATTGGGAAAGAAGTTATCCTCACATCAAGGCTGGCCTGGGCTGGGCTCCTGGAAAACTCATGAAATCACAACTAAGTAGGCTTTGACAAAAAGAAATTTTAGTCAGAATACTCAGGAAGACAAAACCGGAGCGCAGGCATCCTCAGATAGCCCCCAAGTCTTGGGCACCTCATGAACCTCAGTATCAAAACAGAAAACTGCTGGGAGCCTTAGGAGGAGTACAACAGAAATTTTGCCCAAACTGTGGCTACTGTTAATATGTCCGCTAATAGAGAATGCAGTGAAAACTGCCGGCGCCACCACTACTAGCTGTGCAAATGGGTCAGTCGCCTATGAAACAGGATAATAAGGGAACAGTGCTTGTGACTCAATGAAGTAAAGCAGGTAGAGTTTAACAGTGACTGATAGCACTGACTAAAAACAATTACACACACAAGTTAATATGTATAATGTGTCTAGAATTGGCACTGGCAAGTATTTATAGTATGATAGCCATTATATTCTTACCATTATGAATGTGGGCTTATTAATGATGAGAATTTGTGCTTTCATAAAAAAAAGGAAAAATGGCATTTGCTCATATTGTGATTTGAAAGAAATCATTTCTAAAACAGTTTTTCTCCCCCCACAAGATGGAATCTCCCTCTGTTGTCCATGCTGGAGTGCAGTGGTGTGATCTTGGCTTACTGTAACCTCCACCTCCTGGATTCAAGCAATTCTCCTGCCTTAGCCTCCTGAGTAGCGGGGACTATAGGCTCCTGCCACCAAGCCCAGCTAATTTTTGTATTTTTAGTAGAGACGGGGTTTCACCATGTTGGCCAGGCTGTTCTCAAACTCCTGACCTCAGGTGGTCTGACCACCTCAGCCTCCCACAGTGCTAGGAGTGAGCCATTATGCCCTGCCGTTTACAGGTTCTTAAACTCAGAGTTCTGTCTCTTATTCCATACTCCTGTATCAAAAGAATGCTATAATGATCACTTTTAGGCAATGTAAAATTCTGAAGGTTTTTCCTAATCATCACCAAAGTATTACATTACATTTACTGTCAAGACACTTTGGTGTAAAGAAGGGACTGGTGTTTTTAGTGCGAAGAGCCACTCTTCAGTAGTATGTCCTTAGGCAAGCCACTTCCATCCTTATGGACCTCACTTCCCTCATTTCTAGGAGAGCCTTCCACCTACCTCAAAGGGTTTTTAAAGCTTCAAATAACAATGTATATGAAAGATGTTCTTTTCAATTACAGGCTATTATACAATATTAACTATGATGCCATCTTGTTTTGTGACTCCTGGAACACTGGCACACCCTAACATGAAACTTTAAAGCCAGACAAATGACCCTTATCACCCCAACCCCAGTTCTTCACTACCTGGGTGCAGGTTAAGCCACAGCGAATGGCTGACAGGAAGGCGGAAGGACCTGTGATGTGGTAAGTTGCGGGAAATATGTGAACACCCAATATCCCAGTCCTGACATTTTCCCCTCTGCCAGTCTCCAAAACCCACCCCACAAACATCTTCATTACCATCTTGAACTTTCTAGGAGTTACACAATGCCTAGCACATAGTATGTGTTCAGTAGACACTGAATTAAAGGCCAATTTAAACTGAATTTTTATCTCTTTCAGGAAACTCATATATTCATCGATATATCATTCCTACATTTTGAAATGTGACATTACTTAACTTCAAGAAAATTCAGGCATTAAGTATTAGAGCTTGGAAAGCCAGGCTTCCTGGCTTCAGATTTGGAGTTTACTACTCTCCAGTTGTGTGACTTTGGACAAGTCATTTAAGCTGCTAAGCCTCAATTTCTCTATCTGTAGAATGGTGATAATAGTAACTTCCACAAAGACATGGGGCCTGGCACATAATATGTGTTCATTAAATGAATAAGCATTAGCAGGTGTTTTAGAAAAAACTCTCACACTGTGTTTTTCTTCTGCTGTCACACTAACAACACAGAAGACTACTGTGAGCAAGTATGTGGGGGATTTTCCCCACCAACAAGCAGCGGACACCAGCTAAATATCCTCCAACTCAGCTCCAACACTATCTACCTGGAGACAGTGTCAGACCCCACAGATTGAAAGCTCAGTCCCCAAGACCCTACCCCCACCCCCAAAAGTTGCAAGTCTAGGCCTCCAGAACTTCTGACCCACTGGCTTCAAATTGGGGTTCCCATGTCCCCTCTTTTGGTTTAACTTCCTGGAGCAGCTCACAGAATTCAGGGAAACACTTACATTTACTGGTTTATTATAAAGAGTGTTACAAAGGATATGGATGAAAAGATGTATAAGGTGACGTACAGGGGAAGGGGCACAAAGCTTCCATGCCGTCCCTGGGCATACCACCTTCTAGGAGCTTCCACATGTCCCAGCTATCTGGAAGCTCTCCAAACCACGTCCTTTTGGGTTCTTATGGAGGCTTGCTTCATTAAATAAGCATGAATGACAACCATGTAGAAATGTGACTGGACAAAAAGGGTATGCTCTCACACTAACAGACCAAATGGGGAAACCTAGCAAGCCCTGTCTATTCAGATTCTTCCTGGCCTCCCCGTTGTCAACTCCTTCCTCCAGGGCATGGGGCAGGACCCTCTCTGGAATGAGGGTCTTTTGACCCACAATCAGACAAGGCAGGTGAAAGAAGGTCAGAGAGAGATTCTTTTCCCTGACGCCTAAAGCACCCCGACATTATAACATAAGACAGTAACAAGGGTTATGGGAGTTATTAGCCAGGAACTGTCATAGCATTTTTTATAAATTACAATAATTGTTTAAAAGTACCAATAAGTAAGATGGTTTGAGCCGATGAGGAATGCAAAACTCAGAATCTATTGAGAATTGATCATAAAAACCGAGAAAAGGGAATCACCTTTAGAAGGAAGAAATACAGAAGACAAAATGCAGTCCAAAGAAAAAAGGCTAGTGTTTAGATAAATTCCATTAGAGATAAATAAAAACCTTTAACAGTTAGTAGAACTGCTGTCAAACATTTTAAATATCATGTAGGTCAGTTCATACTCCAGGTCACAAAACATTTGGCATAATCCTATTTTCAGTTTCATAGGGAAGAAATTTCTTACTCAATTGATAGGACCAATGTGGTTAGGGAACGTTAAGTGCACACAGCTAAGTACAAACTGTAAGGTTTTATTCTACCCAGTTACACTACTTTATTACTCAACATACAATCAAACTACTAGAGCAAAATTACATAAGAGTTTCCTAGTTTCTTTTAAAAATCAACCTTGTTGTACTCATGATTCTCGTTTTAATAGTGTAGTGTTCTGTGCCATTGCCCATGTGGTTTCAAAAAAACTTTAATAGGATCAGTATTAGCATTTTTTCTCTATTTTTGCTTACCTTCAGAAATCCTTTTCAGCCAGTACTACTTTTTTAAAAAGAAGAAAAAAAGCCTACAAAAGTCTAGAACTACTAAAAAAAAAAGGCCTTGAAACAAACAGCCACATATTAATCAGACTTTTCTCAACTCAAATATTAAGCAAGTTGTAATTTAATCAGTGATGTGCAGTAATCAGAATTCATTTTACATTAATCAAACATTAGAATATAATAATCTTCAAAACCTGAGGCTTTATTTTAAAGAGGAGCACTTCAGAGTGCTTTTGTACCTACCACATGTGAGGCATTTCAAGTTGGAGGACAATGACTCCGCTTGAAGGAAGGCAGGGTGGAGTAGCATCCTCCCTATTCCTTTAGGAAAAAATCTTTTCTTTCTAAGGGAGAGCCAGAGTGAAGTGGTTGAGAACATGCCCTTAACATTCTTAAGATATGGAGAAGTGTGGGTTACTTGTTACGTGGCTCCCTAAGGAGAAACATTATCAGTTGGAGGGACTTCAAGTAACTGAAGCCACTAATTTCTGCTTTCGCTCTACTTTTCCTGGGAGTGGAATGGGTCAGGTTTGCTAGTACATAGAAAATCCATGAGGAAGCATTACTTCTCTCTTCCACTTGCCTAATTCTGAGTGGAACCCCAAAACCCGGCGTAGGGCTGAGGTTTCTCTGCTGCCATCCATGAAATTATCGTGAGTGGAGAATCTCTCCCTCTCTGGCTCTTTTCTCCCAGTAGTAACAGTAACAGTGCCTCACTAGTTAAGAGATACCGTGGTTATTGAAGTATTTTCTCGGCAAACGGACACTTCATGCTTGGGTATACTAATGGAGGGAGATAAAGACACACACAGAGTGTTTCCCCAACTTTTTGGCTCACATGCCTCTGCTCATGCACAACCTAGAGAAAAAGATGGAACCAACTCCTGTGTACAGATTCAGGGGATTGCAGGTGCCTAACACGATTTTCTTTTAACTACACTTGTTCACAAAAATTTCACAGGAACTTGAAACAAACATTCAACAGGAAGTATATAAAACTTTTCAATACACCGTTAAAGTCCTTCCATAAATCTATTAACATTAAATTGTTTCGAAATTCTACGCACGTCTACTTCTATATTACCTAATAAAATCTTAAGCAAGAAAAGGAGAAAACTACCTTTTCATGCTTTCAGGCCAGAGACTATCACTTAGTCTTCCATGCAGGGAGGTGCCCAGTACGGAGAAACTAACGGAGCGGCTGAATACCGCCAGCGAGGTTAGGGGAGACAGGGGAGGCAGCAACGTCTTCACTGCACTAAACACCCAGTAACCCTACCACCCACCCCTCACCCCTCTCTAATCTGCTCTCAATGGATCGCGGGGTTGGTTTTGTTTTTTTCCATTTTTGCTCCGAAGTGCTCTGAAGCAGGGAAACTTAATTTCACGTGAAGGGCCACTGTAAACTGCTGCCTCCTTTAAAAACGCATACGGGAAAAGAGTAAGTTAAAAACATCTGGGGCCACACAGAAGGTTCTAGAAGTTCTGCAGACCCCGGCTGCCACAGTCCTTAATCGCATGGAATCTCACCGGGACTTTTATATCCTCTGATTTTTTTTCCCACTCTCCAACACCCAGGTAAGTCAGAGTGTGGCCACTGATTACGCCCTCACAGGTTTAGCTTAAATCGAACGCGTCCTCTGTCGGACTAGGGGAGAAAATCCGAGAAACAAAACTGCTCCACGTCCATCCACCACAAATCTCAACAGGAAACTTCTGCGGCCGCCGCCTCACTGTGCCCCAGACCCCGGCCAGCCACACACGGCCTCCGTCCGCGAACCGCGGCGCAGCTAGCAGGACGCCCGAGACCGCCCGCCCGTCAGCCCGCTAGCCCGCCAGCCCGCCGCTCACCTGAGCTCCAGCTGGTCCAGGCTCTCCAACAGGCGGCTGGAGCGGTCGGCCATGGAGGAGGAGCGGCAGAAGCGCCCCTCGTTGGCTTTAGCGTTAATCTTCGCTTGAGCCATCTAAGCTTCTGACGTGGGGCAGCCGAGAGGTCACCGGCCCCTCCGGCGGCGGCGAATGGAGCGCTCCTGCGGCTGCAAGCGCTGCCGTCACTACGCGGGAGCCCGCCCTCCCCGCCTCTGACGCCCGCGGGAGCAACCCTAGAGGACCCGCTAACACCGCGGCTGCCGCGTGGCCAAACAAGGGCAGGCGCGGCGCCCGCGGGGCTCGGGGATGCCGGGCCAGCGAGGGAGCAGCCGCGGCCGGAGGAAGAGGTGCGCGGACCACGAGCGCAAGGCTCTGAGGCGCCAGGAGGGGCGCACGCAGAGACGTAGCGCTTAATGTGGTCTGCCGGGTCTGCCGCTTGTCTCGTCAGCTCCTCAGACCCAGGAACTACCCGAAGCGCGCGCGGACCCACAGACCACCCCCAGCTCCGCCCTGCGAGGCCCCGCCTCTCCGTGCAGACTAAAAGTAACCAACTCCCCCCACGCGAAGGTTCCTATCGGTCGATGGGCTGTGGGTGTATTGCTCAGTAATGGGTTCGTTTAGTTTCTCCCAGCACCCATAATTCAAAGCAAGAACAACGACATTTGAGTCCTGTGATATGGGGAGAAAACGGCCTTATGTAAAACACAAGGCAGTACAGCTTCTAGGCAGACTACACGCACCTGACCTTCCTATTACCACTCTTTCCTGAGATGAGTAATGAAAGCACCTACAGCAACTGAAGCTTTGAAAAAGAAAAAGCTATTCCATCTCTCCTTGTCTAGCTAGATGTGGGAAGCAAGGTGAATATATTTCATTTTTACCATTCTATTTTGAATTTGAGACTGGGTCTGTCACCCAGGTTGGAGTACAGTGGCACGATCACGACTTAGTGCAGCCCTGACCTCCTGGGTTCCATCGGTCCACCCACCTCAGCCTCCCAAAGTGCTGGATTACACGCTGGGCTTAATGAAGGGGTTTTTAATTTTTGCTATTAAAATTATGCCTGTTAAGTGAACCAAGATCTCGCCAACTGCTTCACACCAGCCAGGGCGACAGGGCGAGACTTTGTCTCAAAAAATAATAATGATAATACTTCTGAGTGAAATAATTGGTATTAAGGAGTCTTCAACTTTTAAAAATCTTCTGTTAACAAAAAGATGCAGAAGGCCTCTAGGTCAGGCATGAGCTGTAGTTGACAAAAGATGGAGTAGAGCTGAGAGTATAAAGACTGGACTACTTAAAAAGTGAGGCTTTGGTCCCTCTCCTGATAGCTCTATGCCTCTCATTGCAAGGATGAAAATCTACAAGGCACAGAAAATGATAGATAATAATAGTTTAAAGTTGAACCACCACCTTTAATCAAAGAGATCAAAGCAGTTTAAATACTTGAACAGAGTTGAAGCCCTTAAGGCTGGATCCCAATTCCCTCTGAACTCATTCTAAATCCTAATTAACTATTGGGGTAGGGGATTATTTGACCTTATTAAAAATACTCTGTCATGACACAAACGAAATCAAAACACATTTTGTGAGTGGTCTGAAAGCCTATCAAGTGACTTTGGAATCATCCTGAACTCTTTTTCTCTCATAGCCTACCTAGATCCAGCCTATTAGTAAATCCCATCAATTTTACCTTCAGAATCTATCTAGATTCTTCCCAATTATACCCCACCATTCTGGTTCAAGCTACCTGGTAAGATTGCACTTGGAGTACTACAATAACTTCCTCTCTGGTCTCCCTGCTTCTACTCTTGTCTCTCATGTACATATTATCTCAGTGCAGCAATTACAGCAATCCTAAATAAGGGAGATCATACCATTTATTCTCAGAAACTCTCAATGGCTCCTCACCTCAGAGTAAAAGCCAAGGTAATCAGAAAAACCTCAAGGAGTTCATTTCATATTACTCTCCTAACTCATCCTGCTTCAGCCATACTGGCCTTCCTGCTTTTCCTTTAACATGCTAAGCTCCTGTCTGCACCTTACTCTCTTCCACCTGGAACTCTCTTCCCTATATGTATTTTCATCCTCACTCCCTCCCTTCTTCAGGTCTTTGCTTAAGTTTACTTATCAGTGGGATCTTTCCTGATCACCCTATTAAAAATAGCAAGCCTCCCCTCAACTCCCTGTCCCTGCACTATGTATTCCCTTCCCTTATTTTCCTTCAGTACACATAATGCCATCAGATACGCAGTTTCATTTATTTGCTTACTACCATTGTACAACCCCTCCTTCTCCACCAGTGTGTGCTCCACAGAGGGGTAAGGGCTTTGTTTTGCTTACTGGTATATTCCAAGTTCTTAGAACAACTGCTGGCACATGGTGGGTACTCAATAAATATTTCGTGATTGAATGAATTAATGAGTGAATGATGTAATGAAAAGATAAGCATCTTTGTCAATGTTATAAGCATTTACTTTTGATGATAATTCATATAATTTTCTCTGTTACAGAGATTACATCTCCTTGTGTCTAAATTAAGGTCAAAGTATGAATTTTAAGATGATTTTTAATTATTTAACAAGTAAAAATACAATCAGTGACAATTATCAATTAAAACATTAAACAACCCAGTTACCTTTTCTTAAGAGTCATGATGATCAAACCTCTATGTACAATCTCTGGCAACAAGGTGCTGTTTCCTCTTGCCCTGCCCTGAATCTGCTTAACCACTCATCTTTCTGGGATGCCCCTTCTGCTCCTCAGTATTGTGAGCTCCTGCAGATGTGTTTAAGGTCCAGCTCAGTGACTACCTCCTAGAGCCTTGCTTGACCACTTAAACATACAAATTAAAAAGCACAATGTGGTCATTTTGGAAAGATCATTGATACATTCTGAAGCAACAATGTCTATTTAAAAAAATGCAAGCAGGGAGAAACAGAAGTGACAGATCAAGAAATTAAAAACACAAATTGTGGATGAAGACTATAAGAATAAAAAAATTCAATTTCACACTAAAATATACAGTGTTACAGAGAAGGAACAAAACTCTAGCCATGGTATCTTTTTGTCTTAAATATAAAGAAAAGCTCTATATTTATAGAAATGTTTTTAAGTTTGGTAAATAATTACTACTCAAAATTCTTAGAGATAAGACATTTCTGGTCAAATGACATGAAGCATATATACAAAGATAATATGACAAGCCCTTCTTAGTCTTCTACTTATGTAGTATTTTTTATTACTCACAATGGGGCCTCAATATTTAAAAATTAAATATGTAACACGAAATGAAGGAAACAGAATTCAGTGAATAACTAAACTGAAGATACTCCATATGAAATAAAAATTTTAAAGAGTTAAGGAAGATTATTCCTGAGCAGGCTTTCAACATTATTTCTTGAAGAGTATTATCTTTACACAAATATATAAAAAAGGACAAATATGAAAAATAGTTTTATGCAAATATTTGACACCATTCCCTTTAAACAGGAGCTCATACAAGTCACATAAAAGTCTAAGCAGGTAAAAGGAATGGAAATTGTTTCATTTAAATTATTTCTTAAAAATTAAGGTGTATTTTTTATTTTAGCAATGTGCTGCTCTAATTAAAGCAATAATTTACATCTGCACGGCACCCACAAAGAACACTGCTGATAAAATTTTAAATGTTTCTATGATCAGTTTTCATTACCCTCTTCTAATAAACATAAAGATCTCAAAGGTATAATAGGGCCACATGAGAAGTAGAATTTATGGAAAACTTGACCTATGTCATCTTTTTAATATTCATTTTCACTCCTAAAAAAATAAACTAGAATCATTTGTATAGCACAAATAAAAAGAACCAATGCTATTTGGGAAACAGCTGTCAAGAGCTTTCCTTTTTTTAAAATCCTTTAAATTCTAAATATATAAATTCAAAGTTAACTGGGAAATTGTTGCACCTATATTAGAATACATGACTTATATTTGCATGAACATGTATTCTATTCCTTCTGTACATTTTTGCACATTTAGCACAAAAATACAAAACAAAGATCAGATTTTGAACATATGAAAGCAAAAACATGTTTTCAAATACATTTGTGATAGTGGATTTCTGGTCTCCTTTAGAAAACAAACTCAAGAATTCATTATCTGAGTCTCTTCAAGGCCACTTGATGTTGTGTGGTAATATCTTTAATTACATTTCCTCAAGACTTCTTCTAATAGCTTCTTCTAATTCCACATCTGCATTAAAAAACATAGAATTTTAACACAGGGCAGAAAACTACTCAACATGTGCTTTATTTATGTAAGTTTCATCAACTGTATTCATCTTTTCAAGAAGGAAGGTAAAATCAAAATAGAAAAACACAGGCTAACTTGGCAGTTTCTCTACTAAAAAATTGAGTATTTTGAAATATGAAAATCTAGATATGATCTTGAACTTTATAACATGAACTCAGTGTGCTAAGGAACTTGCAAGTTAATTCCACTTTTAATGTACAAAGTCAACAAACTTTTAGAATTACTGACAGGTAACTGCTTGTTTCAACATTTAAAAAAAAAAATCTCTATCATTTATTTCCTAAAAGACTTGAAGTGATACATATAAGACTTTAAACTGAAACAGAAAGGCAACTCCGTGAAATGGCAAAATGTCACAGGCCATTAAAAATTTAGTTTGATTTTTAATTATACCTCAATAAAGCTGGGGGAAAATTAGCTTTAAACATCCTAGCATCTAAGATAAATAGTGAAAACTCATAGCCACATAAATGTCATCGGATAAGCATATAATATATGCTGTATGCAGATGTATGTAAACTCATTTGCAAATATTAATTAAATGCCTATTATATACCAGGAACAGCAATGTAATAGTGAACAAGACAGACATTATTGGGTTCACAATAGTTGGGTTCCATCTCCTCCCTGGGAATGATGTTAAATTCAAGAGGGTGAAATTTGGTGTCAATTTGCTTGGCTTTCATTAGCTTCTCACACCAGATTTATCGCGTCCATCTCATCCCATCTGGTCCACAGCTGCTCAGAGGCTATTTGGCTACAGGAAACAGTGATCTCTCTAAGATGCAATTGCATACTCCTCTGAATGGGGGCACAAGTGTTACGTTGTCTGTAATTTAAAGTGCTACAAGCTAGCATGAACTATCAAGTTAAATCTACACTCTAGGATCAGTTAAGTTGCCCCTAAGATGAATTAAAAGGGATAAGGAAATGCAAAGAAAAGCCAAGACACTCTTACCAAAGAAAAACAAGGGGACTACACTTGTCTAAGATATGAACACTTACTATAAAGTTACAGTAATTAATAATGTGGTACTAGTGCAAGAATAAATAGACCAAAGGAACAGCACAGTTAAGAAACAGACACTGGATTTGTAACAAAGGTAGCACTGCAGAATGACAGGGAAAGGTCTTATTAATAAACAGTAGTAGGTTAACTGATAGACCATATGGAAAAAAACATAAAATTTTACCTTTAACTGAAGGAATACACAAAAATAAGTTTGATATATATACAGATAGATATACATATATACACACATACGAAATCATCTAATACAATGTCTGTTTCACAATTAAAGTTATAAAAATTTTTGAACTAAAATTTGAAATTTGAAGTATGGTTTATAATAAATGCATATCACTTTCACATCATTATGAAGTCAAAAAATCATAAATCAAACCACTGTTAAGTACAGCAACATCTATACAAATATACCAATACATACAGTGAGCTTATATGGATTAAACTTGCCAGCTGAAAG